TGACTCGTCGAACGTGACGTCCTGGGAGGACAGAACACGCCGAGAGGAGGGGTGGTAGAACTGCCACCCTGGAGCGTCAGGGGGGAAGCCGAGGAAGACACAGGGAGCAGCACGAGGGGACAGCTTGTCCGCAGACAAGTCGCGGACAAACGCCCGAGATCCCCAGACACGGAACGCAGACGCATCGCCGACCTTCCCCGTCCACAGCAGAGCTGGGGAGGTCTCCGGCCGGGAGACCCTGGGGTGAAGGTTGATCTGATGCGCCGCGTACCGAACCGCAAACGGCCACAGAAAATGGGGGGCAGCCGCATGCATCATGGACGTACGAGCGACGTCCATGACCATGCCAATGCGGCGCTCAGCAATCCCATTTTGCTGTGGAGAGTCCGGAAGCGTAAAGGTCTGGCGGATGCCTCGTGCACGACAGTAGGCTCGCAGAAGGCCAGAGGAGAACTCTCCACCTCGGTCAGAGTGCAGACGCAGAACCGGAAAGTCCGAGCCGAAGCTCCTCCTGAGCTGGAGACGAGCTGCGCGGATCCAGTCGATCAACACCTCAGTGACATCACCCTTGCTGCGCAAGGGGAAGACTGTGGTGTAACGCGAGTAGTCGTCAACCACCAGCAGGAAGTAGCGCTCGTGACCCTGCCCACGGACGCGGGCGGGGCCCCACACGTCCATGTGAAGCGTCTGCAGTGGAGCCTCTGTCGGGGGGAACTGGGAGGAGTGAGGGGCGGCCCGGAGCCGCCCCTCGACACAGGGGACACAAGAAGGTCCGGGTCCCGAAGGAAGGGGAGGGAGAGACCGGGGAAGACCAGAGACAAGGACACGGGAAGCCATGCCCCGAAGACGAAGCAAGGAGGGGTGGCCAAGACGGTGGTGCCACAGGAGAGTCTCGTGAGACAAGCGGCGACACGAGCAGGGGGCAGACTCAGGACCAGACCTGGACGCAGCAGCAAACACCTGACCCGACGCAGCTACCTGGCCAGACGCAGGGACAGGAGGAGACGCAGTGGTCAGTGTGTAGAGACTCGACCCCGGCCGACGCGAGAACGTGGCCAGGTGTCGGCCTGTGCGGGCGTCCGAGCAGTGGGTCACCCGCTGACTCGCAGGAGTAAACTGGTGAACCCCCGCATCCTGGAGGTCAGCACCACTCACCAAGTTCGTCGAGAACGAGGGGAGGTACAGACCAGACAAGGTGCCCGAGGGGGCAGCCGGACACGGGAGGACAGTGGAGAAGTGAGAGAGGACTGGACCCCCAGTGGGGTCAGCCAGGGAAACTGCAACCGGCCGGCCAAGCGGCGTGAGTGTGGTGCGGTCTCGAAAGAAGGAGCGAGAAGCCCCTGAGTCAAGCGTGAAGGTGAGGGAGGCCGAAGCCGACGCAGTACCTGAGAGCGCAGCCTCACCAGTACCTGAGAGTGCAGACGCACTGGCACCTAGAGCAGCAGCCTCAGAAGTACCTAGCGTAGCAGTACCAATGCCCGGGTCGGGCGGGAAACACCGGTAACAGTCACCCTCCTCACTAATAGTCACAGCATACATGGCAGCAAGGATAGCATCAAAGTCAAGATCAAAGATAGCTACGCCAGCCCTAGACAGCTCTCCCCAACGGGGAATCTCACTGGCCTCGGGGAACTGCTGACGCCAAGCGTCCGTCAGGCGGCCAAAGCAGCGCTGAGTGGGGTGCGCACCCCCACACTGCTCACCCGCGCGGTCACCGGAACGAAGGACGTAGGTGCACGGACCAAAACCCCCACCCCGCTGACGCTGCGTGTACCACTCACGGAGCTGCTGGGGCGGGGGGATGTCCCGCGAACGCTGCTGCTGCTGCTGCTGCTGCTGCTGCTGCTGCTGACGCTGGCCACCACTAGGGCCGCTACGCTGCGGGGCACCACCCCGACCAGCTCCACCCCCTCCGCCACCGCTGCCTCCACCTCCACCACCACCGCTGCCTCCGCTCCCACCGATGCCGCCACCACCGCCTCCTCCTCCGCTGCTGCCACCGCCACCACCGCCCCCGCCACCACTCCAACCGTCACCCCCACTCCCTCCTCCGCCTCCACCGCCTCCTCTACCGCCCCCGCCAGCTCCACCCGCGCCCTTGCCCCCCTTGCCCCTGCCAGGGCGGCGTCTCCCGCTAGGGGCAGACGCCGCGCAGACCGACTCAAGACCAAGCAGGTCGGCAGCAGCAGCAGAGGCAACAGAGGGCAGCAGGGGGGAAGGAGAGCACCCCTCAAAGATGGGGGTGCGAGGGTCACCACGAGAGGCTCCTACAGCGATGATGCTCTTCTCCGCCGCCAGGAGGGACTTCTCGAGGAGGTCGACAGTGAGAGTGGTGGGACAGACCGAGAGGTAGTGGTCCCTGACTACGCGAAGGGAGTCAGGGAGGCGTGTGACTATGTAATAGAGAGTGATGTACATGGGGGGGGGGTTCTTGGCGCAGAACTCAGCAGGAAGGGCGGCGCGGTAGCGAGTGTCACTAGTGCGGAGGTGCGTAATGAGGTCAGCGACAGTGGGAAAGGCAGTAAGGTCAGGAAAGAGGTACGGTAGCATGAGGCGGCTCAGGGCAGCAGTGGCAGGGGAAGAGTAGCGCGCAACTACAGCGTCGTACAAGGTCTGAGCACTCTTGTACTGACTAAAGTGCGCGCGCTCAGTGGTAGGCAGGTGGCGACGCACAGCAAGACGTGCAGCAGCATCGCGGGTGGCCCACTGAGAGCGAACAGTGGGGTCAGCATCAGTAGCAGGGGCAGGAGAGGCGCCAGAGGTGAGGTCAAAGAGGGAAAGACCGTCCGCCCTATCGCACTGTAAGAACAGCTGCAGGTCGTCGACCCAGACCTCAAAGTCAATGGCTCGACCCTCAGCGTCAAAAGCGAGGACACTAGGGGTAGCCATGACGACGACAGACGAGCAGTGCAAGCAGTAGGGGAAGGGCACGCAGTGACAGTGGGGCTGTGCTCACCGGACAGGGCAGGTCGGGCGGCTCGGCAGTAGGGCGGCTCGGCTGCTCAGCGGCTCGGCGGCAGGGCGGCTCGGCTGCTGGGCGGCTCGGCTGTTGGGCGGCTCGGCGGCAGTGCGGCTCGGTTCCCGGGCGGCTCGGCGGCAGGGCGGCTCGGCGGCAGGGCGGCTCGGCTCCCGGGCGGCTCGGCGGCAGGGCGGCTCGGCTCCCGGCGGTTCTGCTGCTAGGCGGCTCCCGCAGGTAGGGCGGCGGTAGGGCCGCAGGTAGGGCGGCGGGCGGGCCGTAGGTAGGGCGGCGGGGGGGGGGCCGTAGGTAGGGCAGCGGGCTTGCCGCAGGTAGGGTGGCGGGCGGGCCGCAGGCAGGGCGGCGGTAGGGCCGCAAGTAGGGCGGCGGGCGGGCCGCAGTTAGGGCGGCGGGCGGGCCGCAGGTAGGGCGGCTGGCGGGCCGCAGGTAGGGCAGCGGGCGGGCCGCGACGTGAGGGCGGCGGGGCCGCTGTAGTGGGGCGGCGGGGCCGCTTAGCAGAGGGCGGCGGGGCCGCGTGAGCAGGGCGGCGGGGCCGCGTGAGCAGGGCGGCGGGGCCGCGAAGCAGAGGGCGGGCGGGCCGCGACGTGAGGGCGGCTGGGCCGCTGTAGCAGGGCGGCGGGGCCGCTTAGCAGAGGGCGGCGGGGCCGCGTGAGCAGGGCGGCGGGGCCGCGAAGCAGAGGGCGGCTGGGCCGCGCGAGCAGGGCGGCGGGGCCGCGAAGGAAGGGCGGCGGGGCCGCGTTAGTAGGGCGGCGAGGCCGCGAAGGAAGGGCGGCAGGGCCGCTTGAGCAGAGTGGCGGGGCCGCGAAGGGAGGGCGGCGGGGCCGCGAGGGGCGACACGGAGGGTCGCTAAAAAAAGGAAAACGCGCCTCGGGGCGCGCTTCGGTGGGCCCTAGAAGCAGTCCCTAGGAGGGGACCTGCTCTGATTCCATGTGAAATAAGAACGAGAATGTTTGAACTATGAATGAAGTGAATACATATGGGAAACCCTAATTGGGTTGTACCCCTTATGGGATACCCCACTATAGCCTACACAACAGCATAAGCTATATAATGTTCTGACACCGGCTACAGTGAAACGATAAGCGAGCGATCGGTTATCAAGGTTCGAGATAGGCAGGTTGATGTCGAACCTAAGTGCTTTAAAATGCCTGCCGAACAGCCTGTTTAACGCCTGCGTTTCTAGCCATACGATGGTTCCAGGAAACCATTTCCCCTGGCAAAGTGGTGCACCACTGATCCGCTGCATGGTGCATGGCCGAGAGCTTACGGCCCAGTTCGGCTGGCGTTACGGGCGTTTGAGCATTTTTAACCAGCCTCGAAAAAACGCCTGCTCGAAAAAACCTCGAAGTCAGGCGGCGCATGCATTGCACCTTCGAAAAACGGGTTGCCCTGATATTAATGCCATAATGCCAGCCGAACAGGGCAACCCGTTTTTTCGAAGGTGCACTGCATGCGCCGCCTGACTTCGAGGATTTTTCGAGCTGGCGTTTTTTCGAGGCTGTTCTAAAATGCTCAAACGCCCGTAACGCCAGCCGAACTGGGCCCAAGTAGACCTGCCAATGCTGAAACCCTAGCTTGTCATTCCACCAGACCTCCAGATCCGCTAGTCACGTTCTAAGCACTTTCCTCTTACTTCCGAAGCTTCCTGACCTTCCAAGGATTCCGTAGTGCTGACAGAAGCGACTCCCCTAAGCGCGCTTCGGACGCAGCCCTTATACTTTCGACCTCAAGCCATTTGAAGTAGAAGGAAGGTGCGGTGGATGTGAAAGGTTGCATGTGGAGGTTCATACGCACTCTGAAGAGTAGATGTCGCTTGGGCGCGTTGTCGTGAATCTCAATGCTGGTCAGCAAGTAGAGCTTATAACGAGTATCCCAATGTGTCAGGCGGTCACTTTTGATTGCCATGATACGTGTCGTCGCATTTGAAGCATCGAAACGCATACGCGGCCTACGCAAGCTTCCGCAACAATGATTGCTCTAGCTCATTCGCCCTTCTCTCACTTCCGCTTTTCCCCGTTACAGCATGACTCGCTCGCTTCTCTTACAGCGCCTACAGTCGGTCGCCGAGCAGCAACCTTCCAACCAGCCGCCCAGCAGACCGCCTGACCTGCCGGCCGAATCCGCGCAGAGGGCGGAGGCTGCCCGCGCAGGCGGTCCCGCGACAGCAACCGCGCAACGAAAAGGAGCAGCCGCAGCAGGGAGGGGTTCTGGGGAAGGGCCGGGTCAAGGGGAAGGGCGAGCGGAGGAGCAGCGCGGTGCTGTGCGGTTGGAGTCGGTTCTGGCTGCCAATTCCCTTGTCGCCCTGCCTGGTCGCTCCGCCGTCCCCCCTTACGCCTTCCCCTCGCCCTCCCTCCACTCTTCGCTCCTTGGCCTCCCCGAAAGCACTTACGAGCCTGCTGTGCTGGGTAATATGTCCACAGGCAGAGGCAGTGCCATGCTCGAAGGCACAGGCACGGGCACGGCCACAGGCACGAGGACAGGCACGGGCACAGGCACGGGCACATGCACGGGCACGGGCACGGGCACAGGCACGGGCACAGGCAGGGATTTGCGTGAACGGTGGGAACAGGCATTGCAGAGCGGCAAGGGGCGGGCGATTTGGGACGACGAGAAGACGACAGCCCTGCTGGGGATCTTGCGGGATGTGCTGCGTTTTGAGGGCTCCCCCCTCCCGGGCAGGATCGACTAGGGGGCGGTGCACCGCGAGGTTGCGGCGAGGATTCTCGCGGTATTTGGGGGAGCAGCTGCGAATGCGGTGCAAAGTGGTGTGCGCGTGGGTAAAGGAAATCCAGCTCCTCCAGTCGCTGCTGCTGCCTGAAGTCTCCTGGGACCCCTCCACTCAGCGCTTTAGCCCCGACCCCAAGGTGAGAGTCCTCCACGTGAGAGAGGGCGAGGTGTGGTCTGTGCATGACCCCAAGGTGAGGTGTGGTCTGTGCATGACCCCAAGGTGAGGTGTGGTCACCTTGAGGTGTGGTGTGGTGAGGTAGGTGGGTTGCAGTTTCAAGGTGAGAGACCCCAAACTGAAAGACCCCAAGGTGGGTTGGAGTATAGGGTTTACCACCGTCCTCTGCCACCTCTCTCATCAAAGCCCCACACATTAACGACCACACTCCTCCCTCCAGTCCGTTGTTCCTATCCCCCTTACACCCTTCCCCCGCTCCCTCAACCCCCCCACCTGCCGCTGCAGCTGAGTATCATCCCGCGGCTGAAGCAGCACGGGCGGTGGCGGCACTCCTTGCTGTTCGTTTCCCCTCTTTCACCACTCGCCCCTCCCCACTTTCCCCCTTCCCGTTTCAGCTGGGCATCATCCCGCGGCTGAAGCAGCAGGGGCAGTGGCGGCACTACAGGCGGTGGTGCAAGCACACGGCGCCCTGGCTGCCCCTCGCTCTGCTCTCCGCCCACACGTGCCCTGCTGAGGCCCCTCTGTGGGGCGAGGAGGACGATGGGAGGAGGAGGTCGAGGAGGAGGAGGAGGATTGGGAACAGGGGGAGGGAGAGGAGGAGGATGGGGAAGACGAGGATGAAGTGGTGGAGGTGGAGGATGGGGTGGAGGGGAATGGGGAGGAGGAGGAGGAGGAGGAGGAGGAGGAGGAGGAGGAGGTGGAGGGAAGAGGGCGGGAGGGATGGCGCGATGGAGGCCGACTGCGGCGTGTAGCAGGGAGGAATAGGCATGGATCGGGAAGGAATGTGCGGAGGAGGACAGACAGAGGGGCGGTGGAGGGAGAGCGGTGGAGTGGTGGAGAGTGTTAGAATCTAGAAGTGAACGAGAATGGATGAGACTAGGCAGCAGGGTGATACAAGCAGGAAACCCTAGCAATGTTGTACCCTCTAAGGCTAAACCCACTATAGACTACACAATATAAACATGTGTAATATTTGACACACCCCCATCGGCTAAGTGGGAGACAACCAGATGGTCACAAGACCAGTCAAAGCAAAGCAAATCAAGCTCAGGGTGGATCTCAAGGAAACCACACAAATTCCGAGCACAAGCAAGCGGTCACAAGACCAGTTCACATGCAGTTTGATAATATAACAAGAGGTACAGTGATCACAACCTAGCAAGTGTAAGCATGCAGGTATATATATATAGAGATCACAGTACAAGCAGAGTCAAGAAGTAAGCAAGTGAGGCACAGTAGGCACAAGGCCTAGAACAGTACAGAAACGCTGATGATCACAAGGCTGAAGCGCCTTGGTGAACACATCAGCAGTGTTGGCCCGAGTGGCCACGTACGCAAGACGAAGCTGACCACGCTGCTGCAGCTCTCGAGCAAGGAAGTAGCGCAGAGCGATGTGCTTCGTTCTGTGCTCCAGTCTGTGCTCCTGACACAAGGCAATGGCGGCCTTGTTGTCGACGTACAGCACTGGAGGAGAACGAGGCCGCTCTCCCAGGTCGGTCAGCAGGTAGGTGAGCCAGCGTAACTCCTGTGCAGCCATGGCTGTGGCGTAGATCTCAGCCTCACAACTGGAGCTGAGAACTGAAGACGAGTGTGTAGAACGCCAAGAAACTGAACCAGAGCGAAGGCTGAAGGTGTAACCCTGAGACGACTGCTGCGTAGCCTGTTCGTCAGCCCAAGAAGCGTCTGAGTGCCCAGTGAGGACAACGTCGCTCCGTCCTCCAAGCACAAGCCCCATGCTCGACGTACTGCACAAGTAGCGCAACACCCTCTTAGCGGCATCCATGTGCTCCTTCCGGTGACGGCCAGGAGCGACATAGCGTGCTAGGATGCTAAGAGGGTATGCAAGGTCAGGTCGAGTGCAGGTCATCAGGTACATGAGGCAGCCCACAAGCTCTGGATACGGGCCACTCGGCTCTACGGACTCATCCGAAGGCAGAGCTGAGAGCGAGTGACCGGTAGGCAGAGGAGTGGGCTGAGGCGAGGAGTACGTGAAGCGGAAGCGCTGAAGGACCTGCTGCACCATGTGTGACTGAGTCAAGGTGATGGTGCGCTGTGCTCTGTCCCGGGTGATCCGCAAGCCAAGATAGCTTGTCAGCTCACCCAGGTCTGTGCACGTGTGTCTCTTCTGCAGCTCCGACTTCACGTGGGCGAGTGCCTCAGTGTCAGCAGTAGCAAAGACCAGGTCGTCTACGTACACGAGAACGTAGAACGGCGGCAAAGTGGTGTCGGTGCGTAGAAACAGCGACGGGTCAGCAGTAGAAGGAGCAAACCCAAGAGCAGCAAGAGTAGTCCTCAGTGTGTCGTGCCACTCACGGGGTGCCTGGCGGAGACCGTAGACTGGCCGCCGGAGGCTCCACTGGGTACCAGCAGGGAACGACCCAGTGAAGCCAGGTGGGCGGCGCAGCCAGATCTCCTCGTGCAGGCTGCCCTGTAGGAAAGCAGTGCTGAAGTCAAGAGAGTGGAGCTCGTAGTCACGCTGAGCGGCGACGTGCAGCAGAACCCGAAGAGTGGTCATCTTCGGGGTCGGGGAGAAGGTCTGAAAGAAGTCAACTCCCTCTCGCTGACTGAAGCCTCGTGCAACGTAACGCGCCTTGAAGACAGGCGGAGAACCCGGCGGCCGCTTCACCCTGAAAATCCACATGCCACTGACGATGTTCGCCCCAGGTGGGGGAACCTTGTCGACGTAGGTGCCTGTGGACTTCCAGGAAGCCATCTCTGCGTCCATGGCTGTCTGCCACTGAGAGGAGTAGGGACCCTCTATCGCCTCTGCGTAAGAGCGCGGGGTCGGGATGTCTGGTGCATCCGGGTCTCCCTCAGGGGCAACCAGCATGGACACGAGATGAGGTAAAGCAGCGGCAAAGCACTCAAACTCCTCCTGTCTGTCCTCAAGGACGTCCGTGCCAAGAGCACACTCACCCCCGACGGACGGAGGACAGACAGACTCAGACTCAGCAACAAGGCTAGCGGCGTAGTCGAGACGACAGGCGGCAGCAAAGTCAACAAGCTCAGCAACTAGTGCAGACGCAGCAGTGGACTCAAAGGAAGGGTCAGTGACAACAGTAGCGAGAAGACGCGTGACAGTAGGACTGGCAGCACGAGCAAGGTCTGACGGTGGGTCAGCAACGTCAGGAAGAGAGGACGCAGGAGGAGACGGCAGAGGGACACGCTGTGGAGCAGTGGAAGGACGTAGGGTCATATAGTGAGTGCCAAGGACAGGAGGAGGACGCTGACGCGGAGCACGACGACCAGCGCGGACAGCGCGGACAGGCGACTCTGGACGTGACTCAGGTGACGGAGGACGAGATTCAGGCGACGGAGGACGAGACTCAGGCTTACGACGCTCCGTAAGACCTCCCGTCGGCGCAGTGTAAGGAGAGGGACCAGGCAGCGGAGAGGCTGGCTGTAACTGTGACTGCGACTGGACAGGCGGTGGACTCAGTAGAGAAGGAGTAGGACCAGGAGAGGGCGGGAGGCCAAGAACCTGCTGAAGGAGCGGAACGTAGTACGGCCGCGGCCGCTCAGCAACTCCAGCAGCTCCAGCACCAGCAGAACCTCCAGTAGCTCCAGCACCAGCAGCACCTCCAGCAGCGCCAGCACCAGCAGCACCTCCAGCAGCAGCAGTGCCTCCAGCAGCTCCAGCACCAGCAGCACCTCCAGCAGCACCAGCACCAGCAGCACCTCCAGCAGCAGTAGTGCCTCCAGCAGCTCCAGCACCAGCAGCACCTCCAGCAGCACCACCAGCAGCACCTCTAGCAGCACCAGCACCAGCAGTACCTCCAGCAGCACCTCCAGCAGCGCCAGCAGCTCCAGCAGCTCCAGCACCAGCAGAACCTCCAGTAGCTCCAGCACGAGCAGCACCTCTAGCTCCAGAAGTGCCTCTCCTGAGGCTGCAGTACTGCGAGTACCACTCCCGCAGCTGCTGTGAGGAGGGAGCGCCTCCAGGCGCAGCACGGTCAGTCGCAGCACCCTCTGGTTGAGTACCCTCAGACGTAGCACTCTCAGGCTCAGCACCCCCAGACTCAGCACCCCCAGACTCAGCACCCCCAGACTCCGTACCCGCAGGCTCCGCACCCCCAGGCTCAGCACCCCCAGGCTCCGCACCCCCAGGCTCCGCACCCTCAGGCTCAGCACCCCTAGCAGGACAAGAGTCGACAGCTACCTCGACAGGCTCAACCGGGTCTACCTGGGACACACCTGAGGGAGCGGCACCCTGAGGGGGGAGGGGGTCTACCACAGCAGCACCTGGTGCGAGGAAGAGAGGCGGGGGGGGGAGCGGGGCAGTGCGGTAGGGGAAGAGGTGGTAGTAGGGGACCGACTCGTCGAAAGTGACTTCCTGAGAGGGCAGGACACGGCGCGAGGTGGCGTGGTAAAACTGCCAACCAGACGCGTCCGGGACAAAGCCAAGGAAGACACAAGGAACAGCACGGGAGGAGAGCTTGTCCGCGGACGTATCGCGAACAAAAGCTCGAGATCCCCAGACTCGGAAACGCGACGCATCGCCAACCTCTCCCGTCCAACGCAGTGTCGGTGAAGTCTCCGGAACGGAGACACGGGGCCAGAGGTTGAGCTGATGCGCAGCGTATCGGACCGCAAACGGCCACAGAAAGTGGGGGGCAGCCACATGGATCAAGGAGGTACGAGCGACCTCCATGACCAAGCCAATGCGGCGCTCAGCAACCCCATTCTGCTGTGGAGAGGCCGGAAGCGTGAACGACTGCTCAATGCCCTCCCCCTGACAGAAGGCCCTCAATAGGTCGGAGGAAAACTCCCCACCTCTGTCAGAGTGCAGACGCAGGACAGGAAAGTCCGAGTGGAACCTCTCGCTGAGCTGGAGACGGGCAGCGCGGATCCAAGGGATCAAAACATCAAGGACTTCACCCTTGGTGCGCAAGGGGAAGACAGTGGTGTAGCGCGAGTAGTCGTCAACAACTATCAAGAAGTACCTCTCCTGACCCTGTCCACGGACGTGGGCTGGGCCCCACACGTCCATGTGGAGCGTCTGCAAGGGAGCGGTCGTCGGGGGAAACGAGGAGGAGTGAGGAGCGGCGCGCTGCCGCCCCTCGACACAGGGAAGACAGGGAGGAGCAGGCGAGGGTGGGAGGGGAGGGAGAACCCTGGGAAGACCAGAGACAAGGTACCGGGAGTGCATGCCACGAAGGCGCTGCACTGACGGGTGACCAAGGCGGTGGTGCCAGAGGACGGTCTCGTGCGCCAAGGAGCGACACGAGCAGGGGGCAGACAGCTGACCTGACGCAGACGCAGACGCAGCTACCTGAGGGGACTCAGTGGTCAGTGTGTACAGGTCCGACCCCGGCTGCCGAGTGAAGGTAGCCAGGTGGCGACCCGTCCGAGCACACGTGCAGTGTGTCACGCGCTCGTAGGCAGGGGTGAACTGGTGGACACACCCGTCCTGGAGCGCACGACCCACCACCAAGTTCGTAGAGAACGAGGGGAGGTAGAGACCTGACAGTGTGCCCGACGGGACCGCAGGACAAGGGAGGACAGTGGAGGAGGTCGCAATGACCGGACCCCCAGAGGGGTCAGCGAGGGAGACTGCAACCGGCCGAGCAAGCTGCTCAAGGGCAGTGCGGTCACGGAAGAAACAGCGGGAAGCACCTGAGTCCAGTGTGAAGGTGTGCAGTGCCTCAGTAGACGCAGTACCAGGGTGCGCAGACTCACGAGTACCTAGAGCAGCAGCCTCACCAGCACCTGGGGCAACAGACACACTAGCACCTAGAGCGGCAGCCTCACCAGCACCTGAGGCAACAGACACACGAGCACCTAGTGCGGCAGCCTCACCAGTACCTAGAGCAGCAGACTGGATACCGGGGTCAGGCGGCACACACAGGTGACAGGCTCCCTCGGCACTAGTAGACAATGCATACATTGCAGTGAGAATAGCATCATAGGCAAGAGCAAAGATATCTACCCTCTGTCCAAGCAGCTCCACCCAGCCGGGGAGCTCAGCGTCGTCGCCAAACTCTGTACGCCAAGCGTCACTCAGACGGGCGAAGCAGTGGGACTCTGTGTGACCACGCGTCCCGCAAGGCTGACCAGTCCGGGCACCCGTGCTAATAACGTACGGGCAGCGAGCAGTACTCAGCGACCCTCTACTCTGAGCGTACCACTCACGAAGCTGCTGGGGCGAAAGAGGCTCGCGCGGACGACGCTGCTGCTGCACCGGGCCACTACAAGAAGCTCCCGAACTACCCACTCGAGGACGACTCCCACTACGGCCACCCCGACAACCCCAACTGGCGTACCACTCACGAAGCTGCTGGGGCGTGAGGGACACACGCGGACGGCCGTGGAGCTGCATCTGGCCACGCCAGGAGCAGCAGTAGCAGCAGTAGCGGCAGGAGCAGGAAAAGCAGTAGCAGCAGTAGCAGCGGTAGCAGCGCAGGCAGGGCAGTGCTCACCAGTGGTGGGAAGGGCAGGCGCAAGACGGCGGCGACAGCGGGGCCGCTACAGCTGTAGGGCGGGGCCGGGCCGCGGCAGGGAGCTCCGCGGCAACTGCGGCAGGGCGGGGTCGGGCCGCGACGGCAGCTGCTCCAGGGGCCAGGGGCGGCTCTTGCAGTGGCGGCTGCTCCAGGTGGCCAGGGGCGGCTGCTGCAGGGGCGGCTGCTCCAGGGTCCAGGGGCGGCTGTAGGTGCGGCTGCTCCAGGGGCCACGGGCGGCTGCTGCAGTGGCGGCTGCTCCAGGGGCCAGGGGCGGCTTCTGCAGTGGCGGCTCGGCTGGGGCGACGCGACGGGCTGGGGCAGCCCGCAAGGGCGACGCGACGGGCTAGGGCAGCCCGTAAGGGCGACGCGACGGGCTAGGGCAGCCCGCAAGGGCGACGCGACGGGCTAAGGCAGCCCGCAGGGGCGACGCGACGGGCTAGGGCAGCCCGCAAGGGCGACGCGACGGGCTAAGGCAGCCCGCAGGGGCGACGCGACGGGCTAAGGCAGCCCGCAAGGGCGACGCGACGGGCAGGGGCAGCCCGCAAGGGCGACGCGGCGGGCTAAGGCAGCCCGCAGGGACGACGCGACGGGCTAAGGCAGCCCGCAAGGGCGACGCGACGGGCTGGGGCAGCCCGCAAGGGCGACGCGACGGGCTAGGGCAGCCCGTAAGGGCGACGCGACGGGCTAGGGCAGCCCGCAAGGGCGACGCGACGGGCTAAGGCAGCCCGCAGGGGCGACGCGACGGGCTAAGGCAGCCCGCAAGGGCGACGCGACGGGCAGGGGCAGCCCGCAAGGGCGACGCGACGGGCTAAGGCAGCCCGCAGGGGCGACGCGACGGGCTAAGGCAGCCCGCAAGGGCGACGCGACGGGCTAAGGCAGCCCGCAAGGGCGACGCGACGGGCTAGGGCAGCCCGCAAGGGCGACGTGACGGGCTAGGGCAGCCCGCAAGGGCGACGTGACGGGCTGGGGCAGCTGCGCGTGCGGCTGTTCGTGCGACTGACAGGCGACGCGCGCGGCTGTCCTAGGGCGCACGACGGCGCTAGTAGGGGCGCCCGACGGCGCTAGAAGGGGCGCTCGACGGCGCTAGTAGGGGCGCTCGACGGCGCAAGAAGGGGCGCTCGACGGCGCTAGTAGGGGCGCTCGACGGCGCGACGGAATGGTGGGCCCAAACGAACGTCGGTCCTAGGTCCTGACCTAGGCCTCTGATACCATGTTAGAATCTAGAAGTGAACGAGAATGGATGAGACTAGGCAGCAGGGTGATACAAGTAGGAAACCCGAGCAATGTTGTACCCTCTAAGGCTAAACCCACTATAGACTACAAAATATAAACATGTGTAATGTTTGACAGAGAGTGGAACGGTGATGAGTGGTGGGGGACGAGGAGCGGGGGTGCGGGGCAATAGGCAGGGCAGGGAGGGGATGTGAGGAGCAGAGGAGGTGTTAGGAGCAGAGGGGAAATAGAGGGTGCAGAAGCGAGAAGGGGTGAACTTGGAAGAGTTGGGATTGGCAGAGCTGGGGCTGGAGAGGAGGATGGTGGGTTAGGCTATACAGTTGAGACGCACCACGGGCCAATGGTATTCCCTGTGCCGAAATCGCACGTCGCAATGTAACATTCGCTGATAGTGGTCGTGCTGACGTGGCTCGTGCTACTGGTGGTGCAAGCGGGGAGGAGAGGGACGAGTACCCTGCGAGGCTGGCAGCGCGGATCGCTGGCATGGTGGCGAGCAGGAGGGAGCAAGGCGGCACTGAGAGGGGAGGGGTTGAGGGCGAGGGGGGAGGGATTGAGGATGGAGGAGATGGAGGAGGAGGAAATGCGAGTGCATGGCGTGTAGGTGGGGCTCCAGAGGGTCGGAATGGGGTGGGGGAAAGGTGGGGAGGGGGGCGTGTGGAGGAGGGGAGAGGGGGGAGGGGTGTGAAGTGGTCGAGGCCGGTGTGGGTGCAGGTGAGGGAGAGGAAGCGGCAGCGGCGGGTGATGGAGAGTGTGGCACGTGCGCTGATTGTGCTCAGGGGCAAGGCTAAGAAGGGGCAGGAGCACGTGTACCGATGTGCGTGGTGTGATGGGGTAGGATGGAATGGGACGGGATGGGATGGGATGGGATGGGATGGGACGGGACGAGACGGGACGGGACGGGACGGGACGGGACGGGACGGGACGGGACGGGACGGGACGGGACGAGACGGGGCGGAACGGGAGGGGACGGGACGGGAGGGGACAGGATCGGATCGGATCGGATCGGATCGGTTTGGATCTCTCTCCAACACCTTTTGACTTGGCTCACTCACAACACCCCCCACTCTCCCATGCATCTCCTCTCCTCCCCCTTTTTATTCACCATCACACGCGGTGGCGGATAGTGTGGTGAAGGCGGTGCAGGACGTGCAAACATTGTCCTCCCTATTAAACACCTTATGACTCCCAGTTCTTTTTGCCACAACAACCCCTATCCGCCCTTCCACCAGACCCGGTGGCAGACAGTGTGCAAGGCGGTGCAGGACGTGCAAGCGCTGCCCTCCCTCCCAAAAGATTTGTGAGACATCTTAACACTCCTCCTCCGTACCTACACCCCAACCCCCCCCCCCCCCCCCCCCCATCCCCCACCCCCCCCCTCACCTGCAGACCCGGTGGCAGACAGTGTTGTGAAGGCAGTGCAGGACGTGCAGGCGCTGCCCTTTCTCACGAACGCCTACTCCCTACCCCCTTCCTACTCCCTCGTTCACCCACCAGACCCGGTGGCAGACAGTGTGGTGAAGGCGGTGCAGGACGTGCAGGCGCTCCCCACTCTCATGGACGCGCAGCACGTGGCGGCCGTCGACGCCTTCCTGCAGCGCCCCCTCGCCGCCCACGCCTTCCAGGCCATGCGCCCCGCCCTGCAGACCCTCTTTGCTTTGCGCGCTCACGCCCTGTCCGTTGACCAGCAGCTGGCCGGGATTCAGGCCGCTGCTGCTGCTGGGGGGGATGGGGCCCTCACAGACCAGCTCCTCGCCCCGCTGCAGGGAGCTGCTGGAGTGGGGGGGGTGGGAGTAGCAGGGTTGGGAATAGCAGGGGTGGGAACAGGAGGGGTGGGAACAGGAGGGGTGGGAACAGGAGGGGTGGGAACAGGAGGGGTGGGAACAGGAGGGGTGGGAACAGGAGGGGTGGGAATAGGAGGGGTGGGAATAGGAGGGGTGGGAACAGGAGGGGTGGGAAAAGGAGGGGTGGGAACAGGAGGGATGGGAACAGGAGGGATGGGATTAGCAGGGGTGGGAACAGGAGGGGTGGGAACAGGAGGGGTGGGAACAGGAGGGGTGGGAACAGGAGGGTGGGAACAGGAGGGGTGGGAACAGGGAGGGTGGGAACAGCAGGGGTGGGAACAGCAGGGATGAACATGGGGGGTACAGGGATGGGGCCAACATGGATGGGTGAAACCCGCATGGGGGGAATGGGAATGGGTGGAATGCGGATGGGGGAAACGGGAACGGGTGGAATGCGAATGGAAGAAACAAGGTTCGGTTGGAGGGGTTTGGGGACGGTGGGGCAAATGGGAGCAGTGGGAGGTGGGAGTGTGGGTATAGGAATGGCAGCAGCAGCAGTAGCAGCGGCCTCAGCAGGAGGAGCGAGGGGTCTACAGGGTGTAGGCGGGGTGGGAGGAGGAAGAGGGGTGGGAGGGGGAGGAGGGGTAGGAGGGGAAGAGGGAGTAGGAGGAGCAGCTGGGGCTGCAGGAGCAGGTGGGTTGGGTGGCACAAGTGCGTTGGGCGGCACAGGTGGGTTGGGTGCCCCAGGTGGGATGGGCGGCACACAAGGGGCGGGCGGCATGGCAGGGCTGCAGCTGCTGGGGCATCGCGTGCAGGAGTTTCTGCGACAGAACCTGGGAGCAGTCAACGCCAGTCAAGGGGCGGTGGTCAATGGAATTCAATGCGAGTGCCCTGAGTGTGTGGCTGCTAGAATGCGTCAAGGCACAGTCAACGCAAGTCAACAGATGGCCAGCACAGGTCAACAGGCAGTCAATGCTGGTCAAGGGGCAGTCAATGCAGGTCAAGGGGCAGTCAATGCAAGTCAAGGATGGGTGGCTGTGGTGGTCAATGAGAATCAATGCGAGTGCCCTGAGTGTGTGGCTGCTAAACTGGCGGCCAGTATACGTCAAAGAGCTGTCAATGGGAGTCAACCAGTGGTCAACGCGGGTCAAGCAGCAGTCAACGCGAGTCAACCAATGGTCAATGCGGATCCGAGGAGGGGAGTGGCAGCGAATCAGGCGGAGACAGCTGTCGGCCAATCAGAATTAGGTGCAGGTCGTGTGGGGACGACTGCTGTGCTACAGACAAGAAATGCTGGTCAAGCATCAGTCAACGCTGGTCAACCATCAGTCAACGCTGGTCAAGAAACAAGAATTGCCAATCAAGGAGCAGTCAATGCAGGTCAAGGGGCGGTCAATGCAGGTCAAGGTGGGGGGTTGAGTAGTGAGGAAGAGTTGCTTTCAGGTGAGAATCTGTGTGCTGGATGGGACACGAGTGAGGGCCAGGAGTTGAGTGAGGGGGAGGAGTTGAGTGAGGGAAGGGGAATTGTGTGTGTGAGGGACAATGGAGCTATTGCATTTGAAGGGGGGGCACTTGAGTATGAGGGATGGTGGCACGTCTGAGGGGAAAGAGGGTGTGTCTAGGGGGGGAGGGGACATGGCTGTGGGGGAAGGGGACATGGCTTTGAGGGGAGGAGACTTTAATGAAAAGGAAGGAGAGACTAGGAAGGGAGCGATATGACTGAAAAGGAAGCAGAGAAGGGCTCGCAAGGAGACAAGGAACTTGAAAGCTGGATGGATTCCAACGATGCAATGCAAGTCTTTAGGACGTGGCCACTCAGAAAGGATCGATCGTGCATAGATCGATTTGTGACGTCATTGGCTTTCTGTTTCTCGCCAGTCGCCAAATAACCATATATCGTGAGCCTTAACGAGTGAACAATATATGACGAAACCTGGGATACACCCTGTTTCTCGCTACACTGACCCGCGCGTAACTGGCAGGATGGCCTTGTCCTATTCGATTTGCCCAAATAAATCATACCGAAACCTAAATCAACCAACCTCAACCGAGCATTATCACTCTGGATGTCAGTATATCGGACGTCAGTATGGCGAGAAAGAGGGTGTACTGCTGTTTAACGAATTCAAATGACGCCAAACATGTCAAAAATCGACCCTTAACGTCACGCGATCGAATCTTTCGAGTAACGATGAGATTTGAAGCAGGGCTGACATTTCATATTAGGCCTCCCTGATTCCGGGGAAAACGTTTCCCCTCAATTATGAGTGCACATTTTTCAGAATGATGCTACCCTGATTGCTCAGGGTTGAAAAGTATATAACTCTGATTGTTCAGGGTCGAAAACCGAATATCAGGGTAGTAACGCGCCCTTTGTTACTGGGAAAAAAGTCTCGCTCTGCGTAAAGTCTGCGCTCTGTGTTTCGCGCACACGGTGTGCGCGCTATTTTCCACACGTTTAGTTTCACATATTTGTATTTATCCACACGTTTTATCGCGGGGAAGAGACGAGCGATTTCGGTCAACCAAAGATTTCGATTCGATACCATAGATCTGCCAAGTTATTAAATCGCCGAGTACCTGAATGTCGCCAACATCGCTGTGCTAAACGTTAAAAAAGTTCTGGTAACTTCACGTACACACAATTACGAGAGTAGAACGACCTATTCGCAGTTCCTGAATGTACCGTAACATATATCGAGTGTACTCACCTGTCAGACATGCTGCTGTCCATCGCTGACGCGCTGGCTGTACTGCGATCAATCCGAAGGGGGATATCGGAAGGAAATGTCTGAGAAACTTCCTCTCGATTAGGTCAAACTCAGGGACCACAGATTCGATACCCTATTAAGTCAGGGTCCACTAACAGGCTAGTCTGTTACACTTTACTCAAAATCAGGGATAGGAAAACTATTACTCTGATTTGAACAGGGTTGAGAACTCCGCAATTCTGAAATCTCAGCCTCCGCAAAGTGGAAAGCCTGAAATCACCATGAAATCAGGGTAATTACCCTGATAAAATCAGCCCTGATTTGAAGATGCAAGTGTAGTGCAGGAAGGTTCCAGCTAGGATGGATCACATCGCATTCCAGAGCTGAGGTGTATTCCCAATCTGCATGCCGAAACACACCAGAAAGCTCCAAAAAATTGGAAACATTGATACATGTTATGTGAACATTACATGCATTATTAGCCTTAACTTCCCCCCCCACCCACCTCCTCCACCAACTACACCTCTTGTCTTATTCTGCTACAACAATAATCACGAACATTATCCACGATACAGTACGAGTGGCCTAGTCTAAATGACCTTGGCGAGCTGGCACTCGGTGGCGTTGGTCATGGAATAGCTGTTGCCGTTGCCGAAGCGCAGCTCCTGCACGCAGGGCCGGAAGTCCCACAAATGCGCATACACAATGTTCACCGTCTCCCCGGGGAGCATCTGCAGTTTGCCGCTAGCACCGCGGTTCATGCGCATCTCACAGTACCCCGGCGTGGTCTGCACGAAAATGTCGCCTATCTGGTACTGCGTGGGGTTGGGCGCGGGGTTGGCGAGGACGCCCTCCCATATGTTGTAGAAGTTGAAGCACTGCCACACGCGCAGCGGGCTGGTGACGTTGTAGGCACAGCCGTTGTAGAAGGTCATGTTGTAGATGTCGTTGTGCAGGTCGTACGGCCCCAGGTACTGCGAGCGGATCGTCACTGTTGTGCGCCCGCATGCTGGAAAGTGCAGAGGAGGGGGGGAGGGAGATAAGGGGAGGGAGGGGGCAGGAGGGAGTTCAGGTCGTACGGCCCCAGGTACTGCGACCGGATCATCACTGTTGTGCGCCCGCATGCTGGAGAGCAGGTAGGGTTTGGGGGGGTGGGGGGAAGGGGAGGGGGAAAGGAACAGAATAGAGTTGTCATTATGCATCGCCATGGTGTATTTCAGGAGAGAAACGGGGTAGGGGGGCAGAGAATTGCGAGCCAAGGGGAGCAGCGGAATGAGAGGCAAGGTGAGCAGAGAAATGAGGCAAGGGGAGCAAAGAAATGAGGCAAGGGGAGCAGAGAAATGAGAGGCAAGGGGAGCAGAGAAATGAGAGGCAAGGGGAGCAGAGAAATGAGGCAAGGGGAGCAGAGAAATGAGGCAAGGGGAGCAAAGAAATGAGGCAAGGGGAGCAGAGAAATGAGAGGCAAGGGGAGCAGAGAAATGAGAGGCAAGGGGAGCAGAGAAATGAGAGGCAAGGGGAGCAGAGAAATGAGAGGCAAGGGGAGCAGAGAAATGAGAGGCAAGGGGAGCAGAGAAATGAGAGGCAAGGGGAGCAGAGAAATGAGGCAAGGGGAGCAAATAAATGAGGCAAGGGGAGCAGAGAAATGAGGCAAGGGGAGCAGAGAAATGAGGCAAGGGGAGCAAAGAAATGAGGCAAGGGGAGCAGAGAAATGAGAGGCAAGGGGAGCAAAGAAATGAGGCAAGGGGAGCAAAGAAATGAGGCAAGGGGAGCAGAGAAATGAGAGGCAAGGGGAGCAGAGAAATGAGAGGCAAGGGGAGCAGAGAAGTGAGAGGCAAGGGGAGCAGAGAAATGAGAGGCAAGGGGAGCAGAGAAATGAGAGGCAAGGGGAGCAGAGAAATGAGAGGCAAAGGGAGCAGAGAAATGAGGCAAGGGGAGCAGAGAAATGAGGCAAGGGGAGCAGAGAAATGAGAGGCAAGGGGAGCAGAGAAGTGAGAGGCAAGGGGAGCAGAGAAATGAGGGGTAAGGGGAGCAGAGAAATGAGGAGTAAGGGGAGCAGAGAAATGAGAGGCAAAGGGAGCAGAGAAATGAGAGGCAAGGGGAGCAGAGAAGTGGGAGGCAAGGGGAGCAGAGAAATGAGGGGTAAGGGGAGCAGAGAAATGAGGGGTAAGGGGAGCAGAGAAATGAGAGGCAAAGGGAGCAGAGAAATGAGAGGCAAGGAGAGCAGAGAAATGAGAGGCCAGGAAAGCAGAGAAATGAGAGGCCAGGAGAGCAGGAACGGGCTGTGAGAGGAAAGGAACAACAGAGCTAAGGAACCAAAGCAGGAAAGAGAGGGAGAGGAGGGAGCAGCGTTGCGTACTGGTGGCGAGGGCCTGGCGGCGGGGGATGTGGTCGAGGTAGTCGGGCAGAGGGGCGTGGTGAGCGAAGGTCTCAGCCGCCAGAATGCGCGCGCCCTTCCTCTGCTGCCCCGCGCCCACCCCGCCAGCCGCGGGACCCTCCTCTGGGACCAGGCCCCTGGCTACCTTCATGGCGTCCCACGCTCCACTCACTGCCGCCGCCAGCAGCCCCACTGCCAGCGCTGCCAGCACGAGCACGCGCATGCCAGCCGTCGCCATGAGGGAAGGCACACAAGTGGCTGCTGAGCTGCCTCAGAACTCGGCTTGCACAGATGTAGTTGCTGACTTGACTCGGAATCGGGCTGGCAAAGCAGCTGGAGAGAGCTGGAAGGCTGCTGCAAACGGGTTCTTGAGGAGGAGAGTGAGAAGAGAGGCGGATTGGAGCTGATGATTCCATGGCTGCACATGGCGCGGGCTTTATAGGCGCAGGAAGAGGTGCGCACAGCTGCATGGCTGTGGAGAGGTAACTAAGACAGCGGATGATCCGCGTCTCGTTGGATGTGTGGCGTGGAGGAAGAGCCACTAGCTCAAGGCGACGCGGTCACTGGGAGGAGGCGAGGAGTCGCGGGCTCATGCGAGGCGACGAATGATGCGATGGGAGGTGCATCGCAATCGCCGCTCGCACGTTCGGATGCCGCTGTTGTGGCTGTGGCGATTGCTCAGAGCCATCGCTACGAAGACTCGTTGGCTGAAGCGCGCTTTATAAGATGCGGCTTGCGTAACATCATCATGCCAAGCGTCGCTGAAGCATACCGAGGCGGGGGGTAACACTGAAGAAATGCCTTCCATAACTGAATGTCTCTCAAAAAGCGACTACGCCGACCTGACGACATGTAATCAATGTAACGAAATTCGCGTTTGCTGGCGGTTACGCGATACAACTGCGGAACTAAATACCACCCGGATCAGCGTCGTCCCTAGTTTTCGAATCGCGCTCGTTTTCTCTCGCCCGTTCTGATTCGCATGTCCCTACTCGTCTCACTACCTACTTTCGAATCAACGGAGCTGCACTGACAGTTAGAAAAATCTCGTGTGTCCAACGACATGCATTATCCGTGTCGCGTTCAACATGATCGCTTGCAACCATAAACGCTGTCTACCCGACAATTAAAACAAGTTGGTGCGACGAATCGCAGCAAACAAGAGCTTGTCGGTTTTCTCATGGCTGTCGCCTATCGGTGAAGGCAAGGACGTAGAAGAGAATTGACGAGGGAGAAGCAGCAGAGGTTGCCTGGAACAAGCTCACAGCACTTGGGCTTGTTCAAGTTGTTTCTGGCTGAGAATTCTTCCCCAGAGAATTTCCTTAGAAGCAAGGAAGAACAAACAGAAAGAGAAACAGCAACTACTCTCTAATTCCTACGAATGCAATTTATATATGTACAGTACATACATTTCAGAAATGCTGCTCGGAATGTCGATTTGGGTGGCCAGCCCCGACATCGAGTCGCATCACCCTTTTCCACATTTGTAACTCATTGCTATCATACACGTGTCCTGATTCTAACCTTCTGATACTGTACCCTCGCCACCTGTCCCACGCGGAAGTCTTCCCAAGTCAGTCAAGGCACGAAACCTCAGTTTCGCCCTCTTCACGTGGGTCCCCCACGTCCTGCACACTTCCGCCCCCTTGCTGCCCACGTTCGCAGCTGCACGCTGCTGCTGCATGCTTTCACCTCCCGTGCGCTTCACGCTGCCTCCAGAGCAGACCCCACTTGTTACATTACCTCCCCTCCCTGAAGGCACCGTCCTCGGTGCCAATGAGGCAAGATAGACTCCAATGGCACGAGGAGCATGGCCGAGGTTGGAAAACGGTTCCCATGAGTATTCAGATGCTGAGGTGTTGCGCCAGTGAATGAGATATTCACGGCCAACAGGAGTGTCACGGTGTGAGAGAATGGTGTCTACCTCATGGAGGTCCGGATGGGCAGAGAACATGGGTGGACGGGGCTGGAATGGGTGAGAGGGAGTACGGTAAGGACGAAGAAGGTGAATGTGAAAAACAGGGTGTATGGTCATGTGAGGAGGGAGTTGAAGGCGGTAGCTGACCGGTGAGAGAACCTTGGTGATGGGGAATGGTCCAACGAATCTGGGAGCGAGCTTGCGAGAAGTTCCAGCATTCAGCAGGGGCAGGTTAGCCGTTGAAAGCAGCACCAAATCACCAACTCTAAAAGTGGTGTGACGCCTATGCTGGTTGGCATAGCGAACTTGGCGCTCTTGTGCAAGCTGAAGCTTCCTTCGGGCAAGTTGAAGAATGCGGTGATGAGAAGAGATGAAATCTGCTGCTGTGGGGTTAGGGAAATGAAGAGAGTGAGGGAGGGATGTGACTGAGTGTGGTAGCTGTCCAGTGGCTAACAGAAACGGTGGCTCTCCCGTGGCAATGTTGGGGCTGCTGTTGTAGGCAAACTCCACTGCTGCCAAGTGCTGATCCCAGTCAGTTTGCATAGCATTCACACACGAGCGTAGCGCATCCTCCAAGGTTCTGTTCATGCGCTCTGTCTGACCGTCAGTTTCAGGGTGGTAGGCTGTAGAGAGTCGAATCTGTGTGCCCAGCAGTTGAAACAGTGCAGTCCAGAAGTTGCTGAGGAACCGTGTGTCTCTGTCACTGATTATGGCTGAGGGCAGTCCGTGTAGCCTCACCACCTGTGTGAAAAACAGCTTGGTTTCAGCAGCAGTCACTGTGCCAGTTGTAGGGATGAAGTGAGCCATCTTTGACAACTTGTCAATCACCACCAGAATGCTGTCAAAGCCTGTAGGGGTGCGGGGTAGGTCTGTGATAAAATCCAGAGAAACACAAGTCCAGGGGGCTGTGGGTATCTCCAATGGTTGCAGCAGACCAGCCGGTGCAGTAGAGCGAGCCTTGTTGACCTGACAGGTAGGGCATGAAGAAACATACTCTGCTACACTCCGGGACAGTCCAGGCCAGTAGTAGTCACGGGAAATGGCAGCATACGTCTTGTCACTGCCGAAGTGTGACCGGTTGTCATGGTACTCATGTAGTAGCAGCTGGCGAAGCCTGGAGTCATCAGGTACACAAACAGCACCAGAATCTGCACGGGTCCAAAAGGGATTGCTGAAAAGAAAGGATGGGTCATGGGGGACTTTCTGTTGGTACAGCTGATCACGGTTGTAACCACGGCTGAAACGAGTGATAAAGTTGCGGTCCCATGTAACCACACCCATGACATTCAGCTCCTCTGCTGCTGGCCGTGACAGAACATCTGCCGGATTGAAGCGCCCTGGTTTGTACACAATCTGAAGGTTGGGAACGTACTGCTCCAAAAACTGAACCCACCGCGCCTGCCGTGGTGTGATATGTGACTGTGTTTTGAGGTACTCCAGTGTTCTGTGATCGGTGAAGACCGTGACAGGCTGCATCTCCACATAACAGCGCCACTTCTTCAGTGCACGCACCACAGCAAGTGCCTCTCTCTCGTGAATGGGATATGTGCGCTCTGCAGCAGTGAGCTTGCGTGACTCAAAGGCTATTGGCTGCAGCCCAGCTTCCTTCTCCTGGCAGAGAATGGCTCCAAGGGCAACGTCTGATGCATCACACCAAATGAAGTACGGGAGCTCTGGATTCGGTACTGCTAGGGCGGGGGTGAAGTAAGGCACATCTTGAGCTGCTCAAAAGCTTGCTGCTGCAAAGTTCCCCAACTGAATGATGAGTCCTTCCGTAAGAGATCGGTCAGAGGTGCTGCCACTGCTGCAAATCCCTTCACAAACCGCCGGTAGTAGTTAGCTAACCCCAAGAAAGCCTGCACCTCCTTCACTGTACTCGGCTGCTTCCACTGCTTCAAGACTGCTACCTTGCTGTTGTCTACCTCCAGCCTCCCATGTGAAATGACATGACCCAAGAATGAGAGCTTAGTCTTGCCGAACTCACACTTGGAACGCTTGGCATACAATCTGTGCTCACTGAGTCGTGCAAGCACCAGCTCAAGGTGCTTGAGGTGTTCCTCACGGGTGCGACTGTAAACCAGCAAGTCATCAATGAAAACCACCAGAAACTTGTCAATGAAATCACTGAAAATGCTCTGCATCATGCCTTGGAAAGTGGCTGGAGCGTTGGTGAGACCAAATGGCAACACACGAAACTCATAGTGACCGTACCGTGTTCGGAAAGCTGTTTTTGGGATGTCCTCACTCTGAATCCGCACCTGATGATACCCCGAACGCAGATCCAGCTTCGAGAAGTACCGTGCCTCACCAACTTGCTCGAACAGCTCATCAATCCGTGGCAGTGGGTACCGGTTCTTCACTGTTATCTTGTTCAGCCCACGGTAATCTACACACATCCGCAGAGAACCGTCCTTCTTCCGCACGAACAGCACCGGAGAAGCATACGGAGAAGAACTAGGCTGAATGAACTCCTTGGCTAACAGGTCCTCTAACTGCTTCTTCAGCTCCTTCAGCTCCACTGCACTCATCTTGTAGGTCGGTCTAACCGGTGGGGTAGATCCAGGAATCAGCTCTATCCTATGATCTGCAGCTCGCTTAGGAGGAAGGCCAGCCGGTAAATCTTCGGGAAACACCCCTGAAAGTTTTTCCAGCAGCTTCTCCACACCCCGTGTCAACTCCTCATCCTCATGTGATGCTAAAACCGTTGGTGTTATTGCGTCAGGTGATGTAGGCTGAACCTCTGTGATGAGACCTAGAAAAACTGCTTCCTCTCCCCGAATGGCCTTACCAAACTGCTTCGCACTAATCAGCTGCAAGGTCATCCCCTCCTGCTGCTGCACCACTGGTAGGCGTACAGATCTTCCCCCAAACAGCACCTTGACCTCCCTGGTTCTCCAATCCACCTGAGGGTTGACTACTGCCAACCAGTTCCTGCCCAAGATGATGTCATGACTGTCAAGCCAGATTTGTTGAAACCGAATCTTCCCATGAAACTCCCCTATGTTGCAGTTGACCGGGTACAACTCAGGTCCACAGCTTCTCACCACACCATCCGCCATGCGCACCGTACTCTCTATTGTACCGCTCTGCACAGGTAACTTCAATTCATGCACCAGCCGAGAAGAGATGAAATTGGATGAAGCACCACTATCCAGCAACATCTTTACCTCCTTACCACGAATCTGCCCCCGAAGTACAATTGCTCCTTCCGACTCCTGCTGCAGCGGTGTTGAGGACGGAGTCAGCAAGGTGGGGCACTCCTTACCACCAGCAACTCGCCCCGAAGCTACTGGTGAGGCTTGTTTCCCGGCTGCCTGGGCTTGGTAGGGCAGTTGAGTGCTTTGTGACCGCGTTTCCCACACTTGAAGCAATTTCCAGCAAAGCCCTTCCACTTCTCCTTGCTCTTATCAATCGCATCTAGCTCCATCGGTGTCGGTCCTGCACCACCACGCTGCTCCCCATGGAAAGGCTGGAACATGTTCGGACTGAACCGCATCCCACGGTTGAAACGGTTGTGACGGTTACCGAAGTGAATCTCATCGTATCGTTCAGCGACACGCGCCATCTCCTCAAGCGAACTACAGCCCTGCACCTCCACCTCCATCCTAACGTCGTCTTTCAACCCACGCTTAAACTTGTCCAGCGCCTCAGCCGTTGAAAGATCTGAAATTTCGGTGGAGATGTTACGGAATTCAGCGATGTAATCCACTACAGAAGTACGCTGCCGCAGATTCGCAAGTTGATCACGCGCCCTTGCCATCGCGTTGATAGGTTCGTATGACGCAACGAGAGCTTCCTTGAATTGCTGCCAGGTTTGAATAACAGGCCGCACCGATTGCCACCATGCAACCGCAGAGCCTCTGAGTAGGGTTCCGGCGAACAGCGCCCACTCTTCACCAGCCACATGGCTCAAGCGTAGATATTCTTCCACTAGGAAGAGCCATCGTCGAACCACCGGTTGTCCTTTCCCTGGAACAAACGTGTCCGGCATCGATGCTCTCACATGGGAAATAGATCCCACTACGCTTCCCGGAGCTGTAGCTACGCTTTGCTGTGCAGCTGCGTTCTGCAGGGCAGCCTGCACCTCCTTGGCTACGAGCTCTCGAACCGCGGCATCACGCTCTGAATCGGCCATGGTGCAAAAATAACCCGGCAGCAACTCACGAGGAAAACACTAGCTCTGAGACCAAGTGGAACAAGCTCACAGCACTTGGGCTTGTTCAAGTTGTTTCTGGCTGAGAATTCTTCCCCAGAGAATTTCCTTAGAAGCAAGGAAGAACAAACAGAAAGAGAAACAGCAACTACTCTCTAATTCCTACGAATGCAATTTATATATGTACAGTACATACATTTCAGAAATGCGGCTCGGAATGTCGATTTGGGTGGCCAGCCCCGACATCGAGTCGCATCACCCTTTTCCACATTTGTAACTCACTGCTATCATACACGTGTCCTGATTCTAACCTTCTGATACTGTACCCTCGCCACCTGTCCCACGCGGAAGTCTTCCCAAGTCAGTCAAGGCACGAAACCTCAGTTTCGCCCTCTTCACGTGGGTCCCCCACGTCCTGCACACTTCCGCCCCCTTGCTGCCCACGTTCGCAGCTGCACGCTGCTGCTGCATGCTTTCACCTCCCCTGCGCTTCACGCTGCCTCCAGAGCAGACCCCACTTGTTACATTGCCTCTCCCCCTCGGCTTCAATCTCGATCTTGGCTTGGAAAAGGCTGTTGGTGTTCCTCGAGATGTCGCGGAAACGGTTAGTGCAGTGCGCAGCAGCGAGTATGCGAAGACTGCAAACGAATTCGACATCCGTGTTTTCGTGCGGGGCTGGGAAGGACGTGCGACAACAAATATGTTACCGTGTTAATACTCGATTCAAGACGATTTCTGGGTTAGCCTTTCCAGTAAAATTGACCTTCATAAACAATTTCAGGCTTCAAGTGTTCCACATATTCACATGTACAGTAGAACATACCTTCAACATAGAACTTCCAGTTCACCTTAATCTATGAATATATATACATACACATATTATGGTGATTGAAACATACACCGATAAAGCAAGTGCATGTAACAATAGCAGTCGTAATGTAATTTCGCTTGGGGGCAGACGCCGAGCTCAGCCACATCATAGAGGTCTAAGGCGGTATGAAAATCAGGGCCCAAATTATCAGGGTAAAATACCATGTTTGCCCTGATAGGCGGCCAATTTTTTTATTTACCCTTTCAGAATCCGGGTATGAGATTTTTTACCCTAGAGCAAAAAGGATATGAAATATTTTACCCTGGTGACAATTTCAGTTACCCTTCCTGATCAGGGTGCGTTTTGCTATACCTTGTTAACGAATCATTTTTACCGAGGATTCAGCCAGAGGTAACGTGCAGACAAAAAGGCCCAGAGGCCCACAGTTTCACTTGCCGCGTTGGTCCACTGGTGCAACATTGGAAATTCTGGTTGGCGGGCCGCCAGTGCGTCATATTCGTTGGTTGAGCATCTTTTTTGCCAACGCACACGGAATTTCTGCCTAACCACACCAGTCCCACTGCCATATCTGTCAAGCAGCGCACCACCACAGCTTCGTGCTGTCCCACGCAACGGCTGGCAGTCGTTGTAGTGCTGCACTCGCATCCATGCAATGACCGCGCTGCGCGGGCATCACTCCGTTGGGGCCTGTTTGGGGTTCTTGGTATCCCAAAGGGACCCCTTCTTGTTCATCGTTCTCTTCCACCTCGCTGACGTCTCTCAAACATGCCTGCTGCAGAGGCTGATCCCCCTAGTAGCACCAGAAACGGGTTATCCGTGCTTGGGGTTTTACCCCGCCTTAGCGACAACTACAGCGTTCCCATCACGCTGCCACAGCGTTCGAGCCACCCAATTCACCTTCGGCGTTCGAGCCACACCCCTCGCTGGTGCTAGTTCCTGGCGGTGGGAAGGCTCGTCGAAGGCAACATCGGCGTCACCGTCAACAGCTAGCACCCCACGCCGGTGAAACGTCAGCGCGTCGGTGCAACGTTCACACAGCAGACGCTTTGGGGCGCCCCTCTTCCACGCAAGGCGACATCACCGGCCCGTCCTGCCGCTCATGCCGAGCCGAAGCCTCCCACCGCAACTGCCGAAGCTGAGTACGATGTTATTAAAAATACATTCGACACCCAGTGGGCTTGTAAATTCACATGGCTGCGCCTCAACCGTATGGCTAACGGAAGGCCCTCTTTGAAGTGTGCGATTTGCGTTAAACACGGAGATCCAGGCGCGCACACAGCCTTCGGGGTGAGGGGAGAGGGAGGTCGTGACTTGCAGGTAGGGAGCATCCGCTCTCACTCCGCTTCCCGAGCCCACAAGCAGGCACTGAAGAACGAGGCGACTGCAGAGGCGGCCAAAGAGAAGCAGGCAACTCTAACTAGGTGGCAGACAACCGATGCTTCAACCAAGCACATCATACGGTGCCTCAACATCGCGCTCTGCATCTGCAAGGCAGACGCGCCCATCGCGATGTTCGTACCGCTCTGCTGTTTTTTGGCTAAGGAAGGCTTACTTGACCTTCCTCCGGCTGGCGGATACGGCGCATATTATACCGAGTAAGTTTGTTGCGTATGTTTGTGGTTGTATTCTTGATGCATGCTTGGTCAAACACTGATTTGTGGCGCGTGTTTCCTTGGCAGTTATGGCTTCAACGAATGTCTGTGGGCCCAGTCAACATATCTTTAAGAGACTCAACGTCTTCACCTGCTGGAATCCCCTTGGCTGGGGATTTCTCTCGACGAAAGCGCAGACCGCATTCATGGCAAACATCTCATCATATACGCAACTTTCTTCAAAAACACCATGGTGGTTACCGAGTTTTTAACACTGACCACATTCGACCGCGCTGACGCTGCTTCTCTCACCTCTGCAGTCGTGCAGTACCTCATTGGGATCGGTGTCGACCTACAGAACATTTCTGGCATTTCAACCGACGGCGCAAACGTCATGGTTGGGAAGAACAACGGCGTCGTGGCGAGGCTGCGAATGAGGATTCCGCACCTCGCCTCAATCCACTGTATCGCGCATAGGTGAGCAGTTTACCCATAGTTCAAGTGCTTTGCCCCCCTTTTTTGCTGTTTACTAACTAATATCCCCATCTGTAATTGTGATTGCAGGGAGGCGCTCGCTGCCCGTGATGCCGCGGATGCAGTCCCAGAGTTACGCATGGTCGACGATGTGGTGCGTGCCTTCGCAGAGCACATTGGACGCAGCAACGTGCATTGCCAGAAGTTCAAGAACCTGCAGCAAATCTTATGTCAGACGAACTTGGAGGCGCAGGGAATTCACTCCGTCCGCTGGCTGTCGGGGGGAGAGGCGGTGAATTGGCTGCTTGAGGTACTCCCTGCAGCAATCGTGGTGCTGAAGGAGTACAAAAAGGAGCTGTATGAGGTGGTCACCTCGTTTAAGTTCCATTGGCTGCTACAGTTCCTTGCAGATGTTTTGTGGGAACTCAACCACCTCAACCAGCGCTTCCAGCAACGGCAGGTAAGGTTGTCGGTTACCATGTATGCGCGTCGTGCATATGGTATACTATGCTAACGTATTGTCTTGCTCCCTTGCAGATCGACGTCACCCTCGTGGCGCACATCGTGCAGCAGACAAGGATGCGCCTGAAATCCCGCTACTTCAACAGGGATCCTGGAAGCCACTTCGGAGCCGGGGAGAAAATGCAACTGCCGGACTTCATCAAGAAGCACCAGTCGATGGACAAGCGGGAGATGCGGGCGGAAGGCGTTGACGCTGACGGCAGTCCCGTCTCCTTTGTCTACACCCTGCACGAGCGGCCACTTCCTGGACACAACACGGATGGAGATGTGACAGCGTGCTTCGAGCTGTCGCTGAAGTTTGTACGAGTTGTGGACGCCGAGCTCGAGTGGCGCATGCGCGACCTGCACCTGCTGGACGGTACGAAGCTGTTTCGCACAACTTCGTACATTTTCGATGATGCCAAACGCATAGAAGCATTCAAGAAGTGGCTGGGCAAACTACACAAGCTGTACAACCACAAACTGCCAGGTGAGTTTGTCTGTTGACCGCGTTGCATGTGAATCTATGTGTGCCTATTGTCTTTCTATCTGTGCCTCCTGCTTTCACGTGAACGTGCACCCGATGTTATATTGTTCGACTAATCCCCCCCCCCCCCTCCCCCCCCCCCCTTCCCGTGTCTGCGAGCATAGCCCAAGTATAACCCCTGGCCCCATCATAACAGGCTTCAACTATCAGCGGGCGGGGCAAGAACTGTGGATGTTCACATCCACAATGTTCTCCCAGCACAATAACGAGGATTTCCACCAGGCGCTGGGGAACATGTTACTCGACGATGCCTGGCATAACTCTTTCCCCAACATTATGCGCATCTGGCAGTCTGTCGCCGTGCTGCCTCTGAGCACGGTTGAGTGTGAGCGGGGATTTAGCAAGCAGAACCTCATAAAGACCTGGGGCCGCAGCAGCATCGAGGATAGTAGCCTGGAGCACCTAATGCGCTGTTCCTTGCTCTAGTACGACACCCATTGGTACGAGGTGGTCGCCATTTACCGTGAGGAGAAGCTTTCGACGGTCCACAAAGGACTTAAACATGTGCAAAGCTAGCGACAGCCAGTTTGTAGATGATGGAAGTGTGCATAGCACGGAGTAGACGGTGTATGTGTGGAAGTTTTTCAATTAATACGAATTTCACATGTGGTTTTATACTGAAAAAAAAAAATGCATACAAATCAGTGTATCAGGAAACTTACACTGATTGAATCAGTGTACTGGAAGTTCTAGGCTGTTGCCAGCAGTGTATGAAAAATATTACCCTAAGGGTCGGGGTACATGAAGTTAGACACCCTGATACGACAGGGTGACCCAAATCCAATTTTGGGCCCTAATGAAAACCCTTCTTGAACTATTCCAGATTGTTGCGAAAGCTGCCGACCACTGCCACTTCTTGTCGCCATACGGTTTTGCCGGCTTCAGCACTTGCTGCTCTTTTGCAGCCGTAACCCGGCTTCATTTGCAGCCCAACAGCGAACACCGACGAGGGCCCAACAAGGGCCCTCGCTAGGATCTAGGGCATCATGAGGCCTCGGGGTAACTTTGCATAACCCAAAAAAAATGCCCTGATTTTTCAGGGCAAATCTTGTAAGTTATCACGTATTTTCAGAGCTTAGGCATAAATACATCTTGACCTCTCATGGCAAAATATCATCAATCAGTGTCAGCCTATGCTACTGGCGCCGAGACATCGTCCGCGTTGGGCATGACTGACTGCTAACAAACTCGTGGTCGGTGGCTGGCTGGTTGGTGCGTACGCGTGTCAAGCTCTCGAAAGAAAGTGGGAGAAATACCGTACAAGGTGGAAAAAAAATACGGGGAAATTTATCCCGGGAAAACCAGCCTCCTGACTCTACAGATCAAAACAGTACGGCAATGCTGAAATTTCTAGGCATATCATATAGCAACATCCTGAGACCACAGGGTACAAATAAACAGCATTCTAAAACTACAGGGCATATTTAAATCCGCATTCTGAAATCAGGGTTATCAGGATGTTTTGCCCTAATATAGAGGGCCCTGACTTTAACGGCTCGCTCATGGCGTGCAGCATCCTAATACGCAACATGTCGCCGACGGAGCAGCTAGGCATTCGCTCGTTTGAAATGAACCCCGCTCCGGCACAAAGTTGTATCAGCCAAAGGACTCGGTGTCGTCAAGCAGATTACTCCAGCAACTGATGGAGGTAAAAATGGGAGTATAAGAGTACAGGGAATACGAAACGACATAGACTGGCCATGTACTCTAAGGAGTACATTCCCTTATTGCAGCGAAATAAAAATCGTGCAGCACGAGAACCAGTTTCGAACCTGTTCCCGCCATTTTCCTTGGTGATGTAGCTGCCTGATGTTCCTGCTGCTAACGGTCCAGCTGCTCCAAATGTACGCGACGGTTCGCGTCATCCAGGCTGTTCTCATTCATACTTGGTTGTGTTCGCCCCTTATTACGTACAGGAATGCTTTCATGATTTCCTTATTGTAACAACCCCCTTCATTCCTGGCCGTAGCAAGTATTGACTCGCTTGACCACTCCACTCAGATTGGCGCAGTGTTGGTACTGCTGACGGGACAGTCGCTTCGTGAGAAAGTCAGCTGCCATGTCACCAGTGTAGGCGGAATGTTGGCAAAGTTGGAATTTTCGCCCCCTGTAGAAGTTCTTTCAGATAGAGAACTCCGCAAACTGCTGTTGTTGCGGTGATGAATTATGCTTCCTCCGATCACAGGGCAACCGGCTCCTGCTTCTGGGAATTCTAGGAGATGGGGCATGTTGGCTTGAGCCGGAACAAAAAGCCAATTCTCGACTGTCGATTGTCAGAATTAGTGGCGTGATCGGCATTCACGTAGCCGACGAGGTTGAATGAGAGAGTCATGAGCATTGAGGAGAGCCTTATGTTGGGTGTTGAGATGAAAATTTGCAGAGCGTGATGAAGATCCATAAGGTTCTTAGCCGTTGGTTTGCGCGAGTACTGAGCCGGTTGGCTCGCGATGGAGGAGAACCTAGGTCTGCAGGTCACAGAGGCAAAGAGCAGGCAGCCCAACTGCTAATGGTAGGTGTGCAGACCTGCGAGGGACAGGGTTTTGTTGTCCGGCTTGTAGTTCGGTCCAGGCGTGTGGTAGGGAGTTGAGAGTGGTGCGGGTGAGTTGTTGAAGCGATTTTCAAGCGTTTCCGCATAGTTCAAAGCTGAGAGGTGAATAGCTTACGAAGCGTAGGAGACAGTAAGTCCCAACTACTGCGTCCCGCCATGGTTCGTGGTGATGTCGATGAGCAGGGCCAGATTCTTCTCGAATTGGTCAAGAAGCGTGTTGCTTGTCCCTGTGTAGAGTAAGGACGTGTCACGGTTTGCCTCTGGTTGGCTGTGATCTGGTCGGGGCTGATCTGATCGGGGTGCCCCTGATTACTGTGCTCACGCCGCCCGATCAGGTAAGATATTCCTAGAATATTCTACGAGGGTACAAGGCAAGCGTGTCACCCTTTCCTGTCACTTTTGCGCCCACTTTGGCGAGGGCGAAGGCCTCAGCCAGGATCTAGTGTCACATTTGCATGAATGTGAGAGGGATAGTGAGAGGAGAAGGGGGATGTATATACTGTACATATTGTATCTAGCGAGCAGAGCAGTGGCGAGGATGGGAGGCGAGGAGCCGGATGACTGTTGGGGAGAGCGGGACCAGGAGAAAAGGGGGAAAGGTTGAACGGTTGCCGAAGCGAAGGGGCGGGCAGTTGCATGGCGGAAAGGGGTGGGCGGCACTGATGGAAACAAAGCGTGGCAGTGGGCGGGGAGTACAGCGCAAGGCAGCGGCAAGGGGAGAAGGAGGGTTACCACCAGCGCTTGGATGTGTGTTGGCATGCATGTGTGCATGTGGGCAGGTGTGCTCCAAGGAGCCAGCTGGATCTGAAAAGAGTCAGCTGGAGGCAAAGTAGCGAGAGGCGGGGAAGAGAGGGGAAGGCAGCATGGATGCAAGTCTGCTCAAAGGCTGCGTTAGCTACTGGCGAACAGACTAGAGGATTGACAGGACGGGGGTGATGGTAGCTGTGCTGGTAGTATAGGAGGTTCCTTGTCGTAGCTATCCCCAATGCTTGTATGTTTCCTTTTCAATACGAGATTCTTGCAGCAAAAGTATGCAAGTGGTGATACTAAGGGGATATGACAAGCTAGGAAGAGTTTATAGAAGCTAAGCTAGGTTTCTATGTGAGGGAGCAGGAGCTCATCACATACAAGCATTCAGGATCGGGGAGGTTATGCCCACAAGATCGGGGCTAGACTTTGCCGCGAAGGATCAGTTAGCGGAGCGAGATACGATGGAAAATGACGGGAAGGATGAGCGCGAACTAGGAACAGAGACGGAGGCGCACGGTGCGGAAAGAGAGGCTAAAGGAAAGCCGAGTGGGGCCACAGGCTCGGGAGTGGAGCCGGGTCCAACGGTACACGCGGAGAAGGATGGTGCCGAGGGAGAGCCGGAGAAGCCCGGCCTTGCAGAAGCAGCTGTGAGAACGGGAGGAAGGAGAGGCAGCGATCGACCGTACCAGCGCAGCGCGTCATGGCAAGGTTTCGATAAAGAGGCGGCGTCGACCCGTTGGCGCTACACCATGCTCCCGAAAGTGGAGGTGCCGGAGCGATTCTCGGGAGAAGTGCGACACAATCCGCGTCCCTAAAGAATTACTTGATGCAGCTGGAGAACCTGCGGGCGCGATGGGAACGTGATCGATTGGACGCGGATGAGTTCTTCCGCGGCCTGGCTAATACGCTGACGGGAGAAGCCGAAACCTATTATCGGATCTGCCGCCGGGAGCTTCTGGATTGGGCGGCGCAGGCGCGATCGGGAGAGAGAGATCCGACCAAGCGCTTCTTAGAGATGCTGCGCGACCAGTTTCCGCTACAGACGCCAGAGCGGGTGGTGGAGTTCCGTGATTTCAAGCGAAGGACGGGGGAGTCTCTCTTGGCGTACTACGGACGGCTCATGGAACTCGCGGAGGACATGAACTACTTGGACCAGGGCCGGCTCGTCAGTAAATTCCTGAACGGCCTGAATTATGAGCTGCAGAGAGACGTACAGGTGAAGATCTTCGAGATGGGGGCAGCCGCGACGCTTGGCGTGGCGTACGAGACGGCAAAAAGGGTGGAAACGGGCAGGAGGCTGTTTGAAGTGGAACGCACGGCTGAAAGAGCGGTGGAGCGAAGAAGGCCGGCCTGGACAGCCGCGCCGGTGGAAAGGGATCGACCGCCGAGGGGACCTGGAGATGTGCGCAAGTGTCACAACTGCGGTCAACCGGGACACCTCAGGCAGGATTGCCGGAACCCGCCTGCTTGCTCTATCTGCGGACAAGAAGACCACCAGAGGCGTGACTGCCCGGAGGCGCCGATGTGCGGTAAGTGCGGACGCAAAGGACACTCGGACCGCGACTGCTACTCACGAAAGGGGGAAGGACAAGGAGATTGAAAAGCTGCGAGCGCAGCTTGAAGGACGCGGGGCAGGAGGTGAGCGGAAGCCGGCCATGGTGGCGCGGGAGGAAGAGGAAGAAAGCAATGAAGAAGAGTTCTGTCTGATGGCTCGGCCGGCTAGGGATCGGGAGGAACTGGGACTGAGGCCACGGGAGCGGAACATGAGGCCGAGGACGGAGCTGGGCAGGGAGGAAGGTCCCAGGA